AATTGCATTCCAGCCGAAGCGACTGCCTGGCGGAATGCGGGCACCGGAGCCTTCGCTTTCTTGGAATCTCGCCGACCTAGCGCAAAAAGAAAATCATGTTAAAAAAAATGACAAAACGGTGATAAGCTATAACGAAAACGAAAGGGTTATGGAAATAAGAATCAGACTTACTAGTCGAAGGCATGGACCCGAACTGCCTGTTAAAGGATGCCCAGTCACAAATTCCCACAGTATGAGGCAAGACGCAAGTTACCCAGTCTTCGATATCAAGAAGAACCAAGGAAAATGGACGCCTATCAACTGAAAGTAGAAAGACATGAGCAAGTCAGAAATAAAAAGAGGGGGGGATAAACAAAATATATGACAGACGGTAAAAGACCCTTACGGTTGAAGTTCCACTGCTCGGGGAACCGGGCTGGGTCCGCCACTACGTGCTCGGTCTTGACGAAGAAGTAACTGCACCAGAAACGGCGATTCGCCTTATCATCCACCCTCGTCACTAATCCTTTAGTCCCACGGTGACGGAGATAAATCAGCGTTCCTCTGTAGAAACTAGGCGAGAAGAGATGCAGCAGATGACGGATGGAGACTTCGCAGCTGGCCGGCTCTGCGAACTTCGCCAACATCAAAAAGACTTTCTATAAGTAAGGGGAAAGCTGTGCCGGGCAGACACCATAAAAGCGGCAGAACTCCTCAGCTAGTGGGGGAAGAGGAAGAGAGTAACCCACCAAAAGTGGGTAGGCGTAAAAAGCGCAACACCTAGGCCGGTGAACTTGTATCGCGTCGTTCCCCGCCGGAACAATATCGACGTGAGCAGGAATACAAAATTTAGATCGTAAGGCAGATATTTGTTTCGACCCCATGACTGATATTACCTGCTCAGGAGCAGGGGCGAGCTTTTTTGGGAAGTCATTTCTGACCGACGGGTTTCGAGGAACAACCTCCTCCACGGTGGAAAAACTTTCGTCTTCCGCAACCGTGGGTTCACCGCCACCGGAAGGCATGGCTACCAATAAAGGGGTGGCATCGGAGACTATGTCAGAAGTGTGAGGGGAGTTTGTCATTTCTGCAGTAACGTGTATACAGTAGAGCCAGAAGGAGAGTATCAACAGGAAAAGAAACCAGAAGCTAGAACTGAAAAGTAGGAGGAAATCGGAGACAAGGGTTAGAGAAGAAGCAGAAGAACAAGCAAAGTGCAAATGGAATATGAAATGCGAAAAGTTTCATTTTTTAATCTCCCTTCCTCTGATTATAAGATATTGTGGCGTCAAAATCGATGCAAGAAGCTTTCATTAACACCAAAATCAAAGCAACAGATGCACTGGAAACAACGTATTGCATCGGAAAGATGCGTACTAATGACGCGCGTGGACATGACATCATCCTATGTTAGCCACGCCAACCACCACCTTTGAGCCGATTCGTCAGCAATTCGACATCGACCAATTCAGCTCATTCACCATGGCGGAATGTCTTGTGATTAGATGTAGATAAAATACCCTCATCGAGGGCTCCCAAGAAGACGACCTCAACAAGCGGAGGGACTAACTGTCTGGGTCGAAATTAGGTCGAGTTTAGTGAATACAAACGGACGAGCTGAGGCCGAGGTCGAAATCAAGCACGGTATAATAGCGAGGAGTCGCCTAGAGAGAGAGGCCAGTGCCAAGGTCGAGTAGAGAACAAACAGCAGCAACGGTTATAATATTCCAAGGACTATGAATAGGAATATTCCATTGAATATTCGGTCAATTGTACTTTTTTAGGGTTTTCTAGGAATATCCCTTATAAATAGGTATAGAGAGAGAACATTTGGGGGAGCTTCCGGACTTTTATGAGAGAACATCTTGTAAAGGGTTGACTATCAAGAATATACAAAAAAGCTTGTCTTGTCTCCTCTATTTGATTCCATTACTAAACATTCCTCTTTTATTCACAAGATCCAGGAACACTTTGTTCATTTCTCTAGTCTGATGTCACACGCTATAGTCAGAAGAAGGAATCATCCATCTCATTCAACATTTGGGCGACAAATTCTTTCTTATTACATATAATGCCATTTGTCACATTTATTGCATGCTTTCATTCTCATATTTATTAATAGTCACTGAGTATTAACTTGACATTCGTAGACTTGAACACGGTCTCGTACCATCAAAGTTATTGAACTTTAGATCTGGGATTTATTACATTTAACTAGGATTCACCCTTTATTCATTTATTAAATTGGTTTAACAAAAAGGACTTAAAACTGTTTGGTCAAACAGTAACCCTATAAGTTATACAGAGATAATTTTACCATTGCTTCAAAGCTGACAAATTTCAAATATCTGGTGATTAAAGAAAATAGAGATGTAGGGAAATCACGAAGGGAGTTCACGAGGAGGCAAAGGGAAAAGAAATGGGTCCATAGCTAAATTATTGAGGAATTACAGGACCCACGAAACAGAGCTGTATATAAATCATATTATGCATGACAGCAAGAGATGATAGAATAGAAGAGATGAGTGTCAATTTGAGAGACAATTCGGGTTACGCAGAAAGAGTTAGGAAACAACTGCATAGAGACAATCCAAGAACCCCGATAACGATGTGCACATGAGCTTTCCCATTTTACTGTCCACAATTTTTGGGGAATAGCATAATTCGGGTATATAATATAAGAGGAAATTATTGCAAATAACATATGGGTATTGACACAAGAGGAAATTACATGTAGATGCAAGCAAATTTTTGTTTCCCTTCAATTCCATTTAATACCACTAGCGGAGTCGAAAATTTATACAAAGAGATCAAAAAAATACTTGAATTGTCACACTTGGAATCTACTTAAGCAATTTTTGAATTTCATTCACCATTAGTTCTTAAACACGCTTCATCTTTATGAGAGGGTGGTAATAAAAAAAGAAAATAAAATTCAAATTTCTTCGTATCTGTCTAAGTTTTGGTGGACAGAGTTATATGGTACTCTGAGACAAATCTATGTGTAACCTTGCGGGGTCACTAGACCTCCTAAACTTCGGTAGAAATCCTGTATATGTATATGTGTTTAACTAACCCCCTAAATTTCGGTAGAAATCCTGTATATGTATATGTGTTTACCTTGAAAATGGTTAATATAAATTACTTAACACCATGAACAGTAAAAGCCTTTAGGGTATACTTATTGAGTAGGATACTAGCGTCCCCGTCGCATTAAAATTTTGAATCCGCCTCTATCGGTACTTATGATGATGGAAGATAATATGTATCACGTAAAATTAGTTGAGATACGTACAAACGGTGAGGACAATACAATTATAAAAATAAAATAAAATAAAACTTCGAAGCGTGTGGGTGATGATAAAAGGAAATTGCAGACCGTCATATGGGTGAAATGAAAGAAATGCAGTGAGACGACTTTCAACACAAAATTAAGTTTTTCGTAAAAGGGAGGGTCCGATGATGTGGACTAATGAGCAGACTGGACAGTACACGTAGTAGCGCGTGGGCCGCGTGCAGTATTCCCGTTTCAAACCTCATGCAAATTGCGTCCGTATAGGCTGTCTTTTTCTCGGCTTAGTTTCCTTCTCTTTTTTCCTTTTTTGGTTAAGCAAAAATAAAATTTGAATTGTTTTAAATTAAGTTTAATAGAACACTTCAATCATGAACTAGTAGAAATTAACTAAATGAATTCTCACTATTTATGTTGTTTTATTTAAATTTTTCGTAGTCCAATAATATAAAATGTTAGTTTGTCAAGCAATAAACGTTTTCTACATTTTTTTGTAGCGTATAATTCTTCGACACACTATAGACTGATAGCAAATGTTGAACCTTAAGCAAACCTACTAACATGATGAAAATATAATTTCAACTATTTCATGTAACCAGTATAAATGTTTTCCTTCTGTTGTAGTATATCCTATTTTATTTGGTTTGCATGGATTATAAGAAATGGTAAGTAATTGAAAATTTTCTTCCATGTGAGTATAAGCTTACTTGGTCCCTGTTTAAATAAATCACTTCACGGTTTCTCATTTTATCTTCTATGGTGCACAAAGCATTTCGCATTCACGCAGGATCCGAAAAACAGCCGTATCCGTAGGGGTGTGATATAGGTAACCTACTTTAATACAAGCATAATGGCTGATTACACGGTTTAAACCACAATCTACTAGTGAAAATATATGGAGTTTGAAATAAGGTCAAGTACTGCATCATTCTAGGTAGAGAGCAGGGCATAAGAGAACAGAAGAGCTTTTACAGGTACAGGCCACAATGGGGATGAAGTTAGCGCACAGACCCCTCAAGTTGACCACTTTGCACCCCATGCTTATCGAAAAAGGGAAGTACCAATACTCAATAATTCCGTCTAAGATGTTGACTCCAACTTGTCGTGTTTAGAGATAAGAAAAATTGTCATTTGCCCTGGCTGCTCATTTTGAACTTTCCACACCCTCCATTTGTTTTTCTAATATTAATATTTTGTAATAAGCGTGCACCTCGATTATTTTCACGTGGCACCTGCTATATCCTATCAACACAAGTATTAGATAACTTTGTTCAACCAAAGCTTTAACATATGGGAAGAAAAACATCTAATAGTATTTTTTACCTCCATGGTATTTAAATTTGAAACATCATGATTTTCGACTCATTTTATTGACAGCTAGACCACATCTTGAAGATTCCACACCGTCCATTTGTTATTTTCTTCTTTAGTCCTTTTCTTCACCTCCAATTATCTATATATTACTCTCTTTTCAATTTTCAAGCTATGTTAAACTTGTATTCACGTTTCAAAATACCAGGATTTGATAATTCCAAAATCTGCAACTTTACTTATGACCCTTTCATCATTACTAAACAAAACCCCCAGACTCTAAATCGCTGCTTAAATAGAGTTAAAAATACCAACAATTGAGAAAAGAAAGATAATTGCATAATGTCAGTATGTCATGGAAGAAGACACATCGGAGTCAAGACCATGTTGTATGCTGACGAATAAAAGAGACAAAACGAATATGAAGGAATTCCAAATTATGAAGAGGCGGAGCCATGATTTGAAGTTAATGTGTTCGGCATCCATTGGATGCAAATGTATATTGCTCCCGATAGACTTAAAAATCCTAAATCAATCTTTCGATACAAGTAACATCTCCAATTTGTGCTTGTAAATTGTTTTGGTAAGCAAAGGCCAACTGTTGTCCTGCTATACCATTGAAACTAAAATATGATATTCATAGGCACGAATTGGCGAGACTTCACATCAGCCCCAAAAATTGTGATGCAAACTCCTGAATGATCGATTTATTCAGAAAGAATAGCCAGGTTTGTCGAGTAAGACCTAAAAGCCTACAAGCTCACTGGCACTCGAAGCCCATCGTAGCTAAGCTGCACATCAATACCTTCCGTCTCCCTTAGTTTCAGTAGCCTTTCATTTACTACTTCATGATCCATGAGATGCATCATGCCTACACATGATATTAAAACAGGCGCTCCTTAGCTATGAAGTTCTTACTTCTTAATGTGCATCAAGAATCAATTATAATATTATTATTAGTCATTCATCAAGTAATTTATATAACCATAGTATAATGTCTCAAAGACATTCCAAAACTCCAGTATTAGAAGATAAGTAAGGTCTAGAATCCACAAACACAAGGAAACGAGTATATGAAGGACCAGCAGTTAAGAAGATAAAAATAAAATAGAAAACGGAAGAGCCGACTTACAACTGCATATCTACTGAAAAGGAAAAAGGAAAGATGAAATAGAAACAGAAAGAGCCAACATACCAGTGAAAAGTGTTCGTTTCGGTTTGATTTTCCGCACTTCCTCCAGAGCCTTCAAATGTTATCGTGGAAATGTCAATGAGAAGAAATGTAATCAGTCAACTGTTAAAATCTCTACTGACCACTGTCCGCAGAAAAGAAAAGGATACAAAAGATTAGAGCTCACCCTTGGAAGTCCAAAGTGTGTGGAGGATGATCTATCTGGCCGCAAAGCATCCTAAAAATGTCGGGAAACATTGCTTAGTTAGTTTAGCATTTATCCTTAACCAATTGCTGGCTAAAGGAAAGCAGAGTTCAAAGGAAGAGAGAGAAAGACCAACCATGATAAGGAGTTCACAATCCTTTAGAAGTGGGTAAGTTTCTTCTGGTATATCGCTTACATCACTAGAAAAGCCAAAGCAGGGTAGGGAGAAAGAAAACATTAGTGGCTAATATTGCTGCCTGCTGCTAAAAACTTCAAAGCAAGAGAATAAGGTTTACCTGATATAACAGGTATCCCCAAATCGAAAGCCTAAAGAACGATAACCAGAGCCATGCCACACCGGCAAAGGAATTATCTGCTAGGGAAACCAATTGAAACCATTAAGCATAATAATGAAGAAAGCCATGATAACTAGCCATTTCAACTTATTATGAGCAAAATGTTTTAGTAAAAATAAAAAGGGATGCTATTAGAGAAAAATTATTAGTGAATGCAACTATAAATCAACTAGTAGAGTGAAAGTAAAGAGCCCCAACCTCAAGATCGTGTACAATGAATGGATCTTCCTTTATGATGTTAAATTGCAACTCTGAGACTGCAGCTCCCGGTATGATACCACTTTTGTCTACCAAATAATAGTGGGTTTTCTTCATCACCTAATGAATGAAAGAAATTTGTGCACATTCTGAGCTAATAAAAATAACAATTTCTGAAGCAAGTTACATCAAATCAAGCATGTCACTATCTCAAAGTGGCAGAACACTACTGGCGAACTTTAAGTAAAATGTAATAACTTTTGAGAAATTCTATCCAGTAGCTGAAAAAAATATCTTTACAGCAAACAGATATGCCGTCCAGCATTAATTTTTTTTTTTTGTTTGGTTTTCCACCTGATGCCCGGTAATCGATTGGGGCCAGACTGATCTGTATTTGTGCCACGTATGGCCCATTGAGGGGGAAGCGATCCCTACAAGGAATTTTTCCATTCCCAGGGCTCGACCCCGAGACCTCAGGCTAAGGGTGGAGGGATCCCATCCATTTCACTACAGCCCTTGGTGATCCAGCATTTAATGTTTGTTGCACAGTCCCTACAACCAATCTTTAAGTAGTTTGAACAATTTCAACTAGTACTTGAATAACTATAAATCAATTGTGCATTTTTGCAATCTAGTCATATATATAGAACCTTCAGGAGAAGTTCTCTGTTTAATATTTTATGAGTTTCCTTGAACTTGCACTGCTCTAATTTGCTTGCTTGTACACAGTATTATCAAGGAAATGAAAAAGGATGAATGAATTCAATTCAGTAATCACTCAGCTTACTGAGGGATGCTAACAATGTAAAGATGCATTATCATTTCGTAGCACAAATGTTCATTGTATAATAATAGAAATCAAGAACTGCATCTTATGAATTTCAGAAGAACTGACCTCAAAGTCACGACTGGCCACATAAATAGGAATGGAAGGTTGGACATTGTTAGTCCAATCGCGAAGATCATCCAAACCTGCATAATAATTATCTTCATTTATTGGAGCACATGCAATTTGCATAGATATAGAGAAAGGAGGACCTTGGGGAGGGGGTTATGCAGGGAATGTACAGGAAAAGGCATATCCACATTGCACTAAGCATCACAAGTGATTTTATCAGAGACCTCCAATTGCATCAGCATGAGAATGAGTTATAATGACCGCGTCAACTGTTCTTATCCTGACACAGAAGAACTAGTCACGAGTAAGGCATACGGATCATAAGCAAAAAGTTATGAACATTCTTTTTTCTTCATTAGAAGGCAGATGAGTTAATACTATCAGATATCCAATAAATGAAAGGAAACAGCAGAAGGAAACAATTAATCCTAGAAGAATAATACTGAAATTCTGTTGTCTAGACAAGTTAACTCAGTGAGTCCAAAATGTTCTTCAAACTATATCTTGAAACAAGCTTATATCGTTGCTTATATGCAATCAGGTTCACTATCACAAATTTATAAGTCCTTCCATGATATACTTAGGACGAAATAGACATTTTGTTCTATATGAAATACTAAGCAAATGAAATAATAGCACTATCACATTGTTTCCAGCATCACCTACTAATGCTCGCATGTACTCTTCATGCACACAATAGGTCATGAAAAGCTTCTATCAAATATCTTAAGCAATAGTGATAGAAATATGACACGAGAAGAGTTCATATCCAAAGTTTTCAGCACTTCCATTAGCAAATGTGACACACAAAGTCTTCCTAGCTACAAGGTTTTCTTACATGGCAGGGAACAATAAGAGTTATTTTAAGACATTCCTTTTTTCTCTTTGATAAACAAAAGAACTAGATATGAAATCTTATAAGAGTGTTATAAACCTTTTAATTGACACATATTGAGCCAAAAGGCAATAAAATCCCATCTTGACATGCTAGAAGAAGCAAACTGTGTCATCACTCAAGAATAATGACAGATTCAACAAAAGAACCATAGTTTATGGTAACTGATTGAGCGGGATTTATGACATGCTGATCCATTGATGTGATTAGGAATAGAACTGTCTATGTGGTGACACAGAGCAGCATCAAGATAATCACAATTATCTATAACATGTGTCGGTTCTAAGGGTGAAGCTTTTGCTATAAAGATCCTACCTATCTACTTTCCCAACAAGGTCCAAAATGAAGTACTCCTAACAAAAAGCAGAAGAATGAGTCACCCAAGACTGGAATCTAGGAGGTTGACGCATGTAGCCTTAACCCTTTATGCAAAAAGATTCTTTTGCTGTTTCATACTAGTAGCTGATGAAGTTTATCCACTTAACACAGATAATATCAGTCATCACATACATTCACAAAGTAATAGATGAGGCCAAGTGCAAGAGACTTACCCATATGCAGGAAACCATCTCAGAGCACTATGGTAGAAGAACCTGGATTGCACAAAGAGAAACTGCTCTTAGACAACAACACTCAGAACCAATAGATTTTTGTTTTTCCCACAATTTTATCTGTTTTTCCGGATAACTTTAGGGTTAGACAAGATGATGCTATGTAAGCATGTAGTTGAATCAAGGTTGACCAAGTTGACTGAACAACTTAGTTCAAAATACTACCTCCACTCCAAATTAAACATCAACCACAACAACAACTAAGCCTCAGTCCCAAACAAGTTGGGCCCTGCTATATGCATCCTTACTAACCATGTTACTCCATATAAACTCATCTCATGCCAAGATTATACAAAATAAAATTAATAGTAGAGTAAAAATAAGAAGTACTAGAAGTTCTTATACTTTCTACTAATGTACAAATCTCTGAAAGGATAAACAATCCTAGAAAAGCATAGGACGTAAAGTTCAAGTGCTAACATGATTAAATTCCAAATTTAACATGAACAATAAAATTATGAATTATCTCAAAATGGAAAAACCATTGAAACACTAAAGAATTTACAAGCTATCATGATTCAAAATTGATCTCAATCACCATTCCTAACTATTGCACTTTAAAGTCTCTCTGACATACTTGCCAACATCGATAAGGATGTTACAGTTTCCAGAGGGCCTGGTGTGACGAATAAGGATGCCGGTGTTCAGTCTCCTATTTCTGTTACCCGGTTCATTAGCTTTTGCGCACACCTGTAATAGGACATTAAGAAGTTCATATAAATCAACCACTTATTTTAATTCAGCAAATACTTTTAACCCTCTAAGATGCTACATAAGCAAAAAGTAGTTTTTGCAGTCTTACAGGGCATGTCTTCAAGGGATTAGTGAGGCAGCTCACACGTGGAATTCCTTCACTTGTTCCTGTTCCTATAAATATTATTTCAGATTTGTGTGTAGATACCTCAGTTCCAGTTTGAGAACTTGCAGTACCTGTAACGTGAAAAAAAATTACTGTCAAGTGAGAGGATTCTTATTACTACAATTCAGTTATAATTAAAGCTCAATTTCAGTGAAACAAATTTTCTCGGTTTGCTTCTCTTTATGGAAGATCAGCAGAAAAAAATAACTACGGTAATCAAACAAACGCTCAAGGAGTTATTGAAATTAACCATAGTCTATATTTATAGAAAAAAATACTTACTAGAGTGAAGAGAAGCTGTGAGGACGCGTTTGAATTGAGAAACCCCTTGCTTTGATATTAAGATTGACTTGTTATTGGTGAAGGAAAATTGGCGGGTGGAACGGGCGATAGAGAGAAGTGTATAGGGAGGAGGACAAACAATTCCTAGAAAGACCGCCATCTACACTTAATAGGAAGTAGTAACCCGCTGCTTATGCTTTTGAGATTCCGATGTAATGCCGGCAACTAAACTCCCCGCACCGGCTTCGGTTCCGTTCCACTGTTTGTTTGATTTGTAAGAAAAAATACGTTCCAAACGAACAAAATATGTTGGGCCCTGTAGAATATGGGCTTCATCGATGCGTTTCTGGGGTAAATTTTAAAAATAGCCAGATTTACAACTGATCGTTCAAAAATAGCCCAATTTCAAAAGTAATCGAAATTTAGCCACTTTTTATATAAAGATAAATCTGAGCGAAAACACTGTTCAAAACCCGGAAATACTCCAGTATATTATGCTGGAGTTCCAGCATAAGTATACTTGAACTCCAGCATATTATACTGGAGTTCCAGACTAAGTATGCTGGAACTCCAGCATAATATGATGGAGTTCCAGCATAAGTACACTAGAACTCCAGCATAATATACTGGAGTTCCAGCAAGTATATTGGTCCAGTATAATATACTAGAGTTTGGAGCACCGGCGCTCCAGTCTCCAGTATATTATACTGGAGCCTGCAAAGTATACCAGTCCAGCATAATATGCTGGAGTTCATACACAAGTGCACCGAACTCCAGTATATTATGCTGGACCGGTCTCTATTGCAGCAAAATAGTGGCTATTTTTCATTGACTTGGTAAACGCTGGCTATTTTTGATTGACCAGTCCGAAAACTGGCTATACCGTGCTATTTTTACGCGTTTCTGGTCAGCCCTAATGACAAGATAGCCCGTTCTGAGCCAGGCCTAATGATAAAGTTATTCAAGTAATTTTGGGGGATTTGCATCTATACCCGATTTTTGGGTCACGTTTTAACTTGTGCCCGCTTTGCAAAAAAATTTGCAAGCGTACCCACTTTTTCACATAACTTCAGCGTACGCGGCTGAAGTAGCAAAGGCAATCACGCAAAACTTTAGCATTCTAGTAGACGGGCCTGAAGCTTTTTTGTCCTGGATAAGATGCTGAAGTTATTTAGTTCATTTGTAAAAACTTCAGCACTAAAATAGCTGAAGTTTTTTGTTGTCCTGGATTCATTAGTTTTGTCAGAAAACTTTTTCAAAAACTTCAGCAGAAGATGCTGAAGTTATTTAGTTCATTTGTAAAAACTTCAGCACTATATAAGCTGAAGTTTTTTTGTCCTGAATACATTAGTTTTGTCATAAATCTTTTTCAAAAACTTCAGCAGAAGATGCTGAAGTTATTTAGTTCATTTGTAAAAACTTCAGCACTATATAAGCTGAAGTTTTTGAAAAAGCTTTCTAACATACTAGATAAATAATTACCTTATTCTTTCATAGTGTATTACTACTATAAAATAATCAGATTGCCAACAATATCGAAATCATAAATTTTGGAAAACAATAAGCGTGAAAAGTACATAATTACGTAGAAATTTTCACAAATTATTGTCTACTAACTTAAGTAATTATTTATAATTTGTTTTTAAATAATCTGATAAACATACTTATGGCAGTCATCCCATGAACTGAAGTTTCATAGCAGCACCAACAGCAGCAGCAGCAGCAGAAGAAGGAGAAGAAGAAGAAGAAGAAGAAGAAGAAGAAGAAGAAGAAGAAGAAGAAAAAGAAAACGAAGGAGGAGAAGGAAGAGGAGAAAGGGGGCTGAAGTTGTTTAAAAAGTGGGTACAAGTTAAAACTTTTTTAAAAAAATGGGTAAAGGTTAAATGGGGGCGACCAAATAGGGTGCCCCGTGCAATTATTACAATAATTTTCGCCGGTTTATAGTAAAAGTTGCATGGGGTGTCCTATTTGGTCGCCCTTTTTAACTTGTACCCATTTTATTTTTTTCGTTTGCATCTGTATCCTTTGTTTTGTTAAAAGCATTTTAAAAAGATAATTTTGCCCTTCTTTAATAAAAGATTACTTTCAGCAAAATAGACTGAAGTTTCGGATAAAACTTATGACAAAACTGTAGACTGCAGGATAAAACTTCAGCAAGTTTTGTTATAGAGTTTTAGCAAATGAACTAAATAACATCAGCATGCATTAGCAAAAACTCATTAAAAATTACATATTGCAAGACAAAACTTAAGCATGTTCAGTATGAAGTTTTAGCAAATGAACTAAAATACTTCAACTTTTTTAGACTGAAGTTTTGGATAAAACTCATGACAAAACTGTAGACTACAGGACAAAACTTCAGCATATTTTGGTATGAAGTTTTAGCAAATGACTAAATAACTTCAGCATGCATTAGCAAAAACTCATTAGAAAATTACATACTGCAGGACAAAAACTTAAGCATGTTTAGTATGAAGTTTAGCAAATGAATTAAAAACATCACCATATTTAGACTGAAAATTCGAATAAAAGTCATGGCAAAACTTCAGCATGTTTTGGTATGAAGTTTTAGCAAATGAACTAAATAACTTCAGCATGCATTAGCATGAAGTTTCAGATTCAATGTGAAACAACTTCATGCTATATTAGCATGAAGTTTTAGCTTCAACGTGAAACAACTTCATGCTAGATTAGCATGAAGTTTTATCTTTAACGTGAAACAACTTCATACTACATTAGCATGAAGTTTTATCTTGTATTTGATTAAAACTTCAGACTTCAACGTGAAACAACTTTTTTCTATATCCTTCACGCATTAAATTTAAAATTTTGAAAAGTTTTTGAAGATTTGTGTCACGACCCATTTTCTGAACAAGTTGGGACCGGCACTCGATCACTAAACATGACCGAGCGAACCATCTTTGCTTATCAAATCTATTATAACTCCAAACTTTATATGCAATAAGGCAATACTCTAACCAAATACTTTTGATTAATTTAAAAATTTAAATAAATCAACTCCAAAACTTTATTCATAGTAACCAATAAAATACTGCTAAGTTATTATAAAAAAAAATATCTGAATCTTAACCCAACAACTATGTCTATGAAGCCTCTACTGATAAACTGACGCACTGCTCAGGACATGAGATTTCCTGGCTAGTTCTCTAAGTAACAAAGAAATAACTAAATAAAGATGACTCTAAAGAATACTCCACGAACAAAAGCGGAGCTCACCAATAGCACTGGAAGAGAAGGAAGTCCTAACTCGTAGCCGGCTCGCCTGCAAATTCGGTTCCTACGTTGTACAGCAGACCAACGTAGGTTCCCAAAAAAGAACGTGAGTACCATCAATTGTACTCAGTGAGTCTCAACAACAGGGGTGAAACTTTAATAACATATACATTATGAGCAAAGGTTCTAAATGCATGTAAAACATAAAGCTTATAAGAATAATTCTAAATAATTGCATAATAGCAATTTACGAATATTCTAAAAGAAATTCTTTTCTTTTTCTTTCTTAAAAAAAAATACTTCACTTTATACTTTGGGAGTTCCAACTATCCTGACCTGTTTCTGTCTTAGTCACTGTGTGATCGGCACGGGTTCGATCCCAACCCGATCGAATAGGCCCAATCCACGAGGTGCCACTCGCTTCATGGTTCTCAGCGCTCATGTATCATACCTTAGCATGGCTAAGTAAATTCTCAGCAACGAGACCCTCGGCTCGTGTGCTCCCCACTTTGGCACAAGTAGTTTCAGGAAGTCAACGCCTTGGTCAGGACCCTAGGCCTGGACGATGACCCCTTCTCAGAATAAAGGATACTCCCAAAAAAAAACTTTCCTTTCTAAAACTTCACAAGTTCTTGCTCTTAGTCAGCGTGACTGACAAAGATACTGCTAAAAATGCAAGCTATTTGCCCTCCTTTAAATATCACCAAGAAATACTAGAGCTTATGTTGAATATCCAAGTTATCTTCATTTAAGATTATCGTTTTAGACAAGATTCTGACGGAATGATATCCAACTGGTATAATAGTCAAAACAACTTCAAATCAGAACACTTTACACATAGCAAAACACAAGTGATTAACCAAGATCACGGGTCTTTGAAAATCCTTAGCTTAAAATTCAATCAAGTATCAAAATATCTAGTAGAGCATTGCAATTGCTAGACAATTTTTTTTCCAGTGCTATGCAGCTGCTTGCCTAGTACTACTCCAATTAAATATATATTAACTCCTTTATGCAATTCAACAAGCATCTTGTATGCGTGCTTCTATGAGTTAAACCACTTTAGTAAAGGGTTATATCAACTCACCTCAAAACTTCTCGAGCCAATACGTAGCCCCAGTCCAATTGACACCAGTTAAACAATCGATTCTACAATAACCAGTACATTTTAATCAATTTTAAAGTACTACACCTATATATGAAATTTATTGTTGATATAGAGGAAGAAGGGAATTAACTACTCAATTCTTAGCTAATATTACTGTAGGGTAATTGACAATAAAAAATTTTATATACCTGAGTTCAAGAATTAGCGACTTGTAAAGAAACCTAAATTTCCCGTTGCCTGCGTGAGTATTGAGCAGCAAGTCTCTGTCTCACGATTCTGCGTTTGTACGTGAACGAGGGCTTTTTTTTAATTCTGCGTTTCAGATTGTGCGTATTCTGTTTCTTAGTCCAAACCCCTTTTTACTTCTTTTGCAGTCCACAACCCTTTATGGGTTAGGACTTTTCACGTTTTCCTTTTTTTTTTATTTGTTTTCCCTTTTTCTTTTTTTTCTTTTTTTTTTTTTGGGTTTTAACTTAACTAGTATTAACTTATACATACTTTTAATATTTAATAATAACAAAATTATTAATATTCTCCTAATTGTATATCCAACTACTTAAGTGTGTGTGTATATATATATATATATATATATATATATATATATATATATATATATATATATATATATATATATATATATATATTCACTATAGGCAAGAAAAATAATAATAATACTAATTAAATTCTATAAATAGCGTGTCTCGAAACTTTTATAAATTTGAGGAGTGTTACAATCTGTAAGTGAAAACTTCGTGCTATATTCGTCAGACAACATATTACGATTTTTTTATCAACTACTACCAAATCAATAATTTAAAAATAGGTTACAGGTTAGTTTTCCCTTAAGTAGTATATGGCCCTCTTTATATTTCTCTTGGCAATTTATGTTTCTCTTAAACCACGATCTAAATACATATTTTTGGTAAACTGAAAATCTTATGAGAATATGGTTGCACTATAGTCTAAAATAGTACAATAAGTTATTGTAAATATTAGACATAATCTAGTATTTTGACCGTAAGGTTGATCAAATTGAAAATTATGAGCAAACATTAGACACTGAGTCTAACATTGTACAGAAGGGGAACTATAATTTTTTTAAATGGGAACTAAATATAAACAAATGGACTTAAAAGGGACCTTCGCGTAAATTAGCCAAGCTAGGGGTATCAAGTTATTGAGTCACACTATGAAGGTTTGGTAGAGGGTGGTGGAGGCCAGGGTGAGGAGGTGCGTGTCTATTTCCGAGAATCAGTTTGGATTCATGTCGGGGCGATCGACTACGGAAGTGATTCATCTGGTAAGGAGATTAGTGGAGCAGTACAGGGAGAGGAAGAAGGATTGCATATGGTGTTTATTGACCTTGAGAAGGCATACGATAAAGTTCCGGGGGAGGTCCTGTGGAGGTGTTTGGAGGTTAGGGGCGTTCCGGTAGCGTACATTAGGGTGATTAAGGATACTTATGATGATGCTAAGACTCGGGTGAGGACTGTGGGTGGTGACTCGGAGCATTTCCCCGTGGTGATGAGGTTGCACCAGGGATCGGCTCTTAGCCCATTTTTATTTGCCTTGGCGATGGATGTACTGTCGCGTCACATCCAAGGGGAGGTGCCTTGGTGCATGCTATTTTCCGATAATATAGTGTTGATTGACGAGACGCGTAGCGGAGTTAACGCGAGGTTGGAGGTTTGGAGACAGACCTTGGAGTCTAAAGGTTTCAAACTGAGTAGAACCAAGATAGAATACTTGGAGTGCAAATTCAGTGACGGGACCCATGATTTTGACTTAGAGGTTAAGCTTGATGCTCAAGTTATCCCCAAGAGAGCGAGTTTTAAGTATCTCAGGTCTATTATCCAGGATAACGGGGAGATTGACGAAGATATCGCACATCGCATCGGAGCGGGATGGATGAAGTGGAGGCTCGCTTCCGGTGTTTTATGTGATAGAAATGTGCCGCTAAGACTTAAGGGTAAGTTTTATCGAGTGGTGGTTCGACCGGCTATGCTGTATGGGGCTGAGTGTTGGCCAGTCAAGAACTCCCACGTGCAGAAGATGAGAGTAGCAGAGATGAGGATGTTGAGATGGATGTGTGGGTGTACCAGGAGAGATGGGATTAAGAATGAAGCTATCCGGGACAGAGTGGGAGTAGCCTCCGTGGAGGACAAGATGCGGGAGTCAAGGCTGAGATGGTTCGGACATGTTAAGAGAAGAAGCATTGATGCTCCCGTCAGGAGGTGTGAGAGGTTGGCCACAGAGAGTTTGAGAAGAGGTCGAGGTAGGCCTAAGAAGTACTGGGGAGAGGTGATTAGGCAAGACATGGCGCTGCTTCAGCTCACTGAGGACATGAACCTTGATAGGAGGGTGTGGAGGTCGAGGATTAAGGTAGAAGGTTAGTAGGTAGTTTGTAGTTGTTCACCGATAGTCTTAGTAGCATGCATGTCTCTTCATATGCTTAGATTTTTTTTATTACATTATGTGGTTTTGTTCGCCTCAGGTATTGTATTCTCTGATGCTATTATTTGGTACGACTTATCCTTTATATCTCCCTTTTCTTTTCTCTTACATCTTTATTCCTTTCTTGCTTTCCTCTTCTTCTTCTTGCCCTTCTTGAGCTGAGGGTCTATTGAAAACAGCCTCTCTACCTGCATTAGGTAGGGGTAAGGTCTACATACAGACTACCCTCCCTAGACCCCTCCTGTTGGGATCAAATTGGGTTTGTTGTTGTTGTTGTTGTTATTCTTAACATTTGTTGTGTCTCATTTATATGAATGAATAATGAACATGAATGACTTATGAACTATGTTAGTGATAAGGAATTGAAATGCGTAGAAGATTCATATTCTTTTTTATATCACTATATTTTGTCGAACACGTATTCAGAAAAAATATGTTTACATAATTAAATAAAAGATAACATATATTATAAATGGCAAAGTCTAATCATTTTTGTTCTACATTACTAATAAATAAGTTAAAAGAATTATTATAAATAAAATAAAATAAATGTAATATCTGTTTAACCTAAAATTCGAGTAACAATTAAACTTATATTGTGGTTTTAAGGATATGTGATTCAATCCAATACCAGTTGATAAACAAGGAATTAAATAAATAAATTAGGAGATAGGATAGAACAAACCAGTATGCGAGTGGAGTTTCGACCTCGATCCAAGAGAGTCTTGAGATAGAGCAATAATAATAACAGTAAAGAAATGAAACAACAATGATGAACAATAACGAATGATAAGCAAGGTAAAAGAGCACTGGATGTGAGTATTCTTATTAGTCAGTAATCATGCTTACAAATGAATGGGATTCCTCCTTATATAATAGAGGAGTTCTAAATAAGGTACACTTCTAATTATAGTAGGAAATCATATTGACAACTGATTAACCGCTGAAGATCAATCCATTCCGAAATTCACGCCATGATCTTCGATCCGTCACAAATATCTCGCTCTTTCCGTTTGTCGAACTATACCGGCATCATTTCGAAGTATGCCCTTTCCTGACCTCGATTAGTGATGTCGACCTAAGTCTTCGAAAGCAACTTCGATCCCGGACTCGACGTCCTGGCCTTTCGACGTGGTATCTCTTTTTCAATCAAAGAACGAAATCGGGTAACCCCGATTTCCACCGTATACAGATAGTCCCCGCGTTTCTTAGAATAGAATGATAAGAACAACTTGAGCCTCGATTCCTGGAGACCTCGATCATGATGTCTTCCTTATGACGTAAGCGACAGACGTGACCGAAGCGTCCCGTCGGTACAGTTCCCCAAACCATTAATGCTTGCTAGTGACGGCCGGCCACTAGCACCACCGAACCGTCGCCGTGAATCTATAAATTCAGGCTCTTTGGTTGAATCAAATTTTACTTTCACCTCCACCAAGTTTTCTAAGTCCCTTACTCTCTCCATCTCTTCTCTTTTACCACCCATTGAGTCAAGCCCATATGTTCTCAAAAGGATATTTACCTGTTCGTCCAGCTCGGCCTCTTCCTTACGAGCCTGAGCCAAGTTTGCTCGAAGGCCCTTAAGCTCTTCATCCTTTTGACTGCAAAGGAGCTTCAATGCATTCCTCTCCTACGAGGTCTTCTAGAGATCGGCCTTGCATTGGCTCAGGTCGGCCCGAGACTTGGTAAAAGCCTACGTAAAAAGAAAGATATAAGTTATGTTAAAGGGAGAAGAAGGAAAAGAAAATTGCAGCAACGAGGATTAGTACTAACTCGAGATAAAAGGCGTTGGGCCTCTTCAAAAAGGGTAGATGCGTCATTGAGATCAGCGGCATCGTCAACCTCGATAAAGCAATCCCGAAAGGGATCCTCTTCACAGGGGACTCCTTCTATGTCGGGGATCTGTACAGCACGAGCATCTCTTATAGACTCCTCAGAAAAGGCCGGTAGAGAAAGAGAGTGACCTATTGTCACAGCCCCGAACGGATCACTCGGGGCGCTCTTTTCAGCCCTTGGGGTCTCATAACCGGGCCCCTCCGGCATGCTTGTTGATGGCAGAGGGATAACCTCAACCTCGGGCGATTCAGGGGTTTTGCTCGAATCTTTCTTCGAAGCCTCTTCATCATGAGGCAGGGTCTCGATAATCGCCTCCGACTTGGAAGGCTTGGCGACCTCGAACGGCTTCCTTGCTCGAACCACCAGCGCCGAATCATCGCCCTCATCTTCCTCTTCTTCTTCCCCCAGCTGGTGGACTGACTCTATAGTCACAGGGATGAGATTTCTCCTGCGTCTTCGAACAAGAGCCCTTTTAGGTTGGGGGTCCTCGGACTCCGAGACCCTCTTCCTCTTGTTATCTTTCCTCGACTTCGGGATCGGGGAATCAGCCTCTTCCCCGGGCGTGGCCGACTTCATTTCAGCAACATCTCCAAGTCCAGCATAAAAGAGAGTCAAGTATAAATAAAGAGAAACGTTACATAAAGGGCATCGGAAGCTTACAGGATAAACTTACCATGATTCTTGGCTTCCCATCTGGCCTTTGCCAAGTCACGCCAGCAGCGCTCGGCATGGGAGGAAGTCGAGGCCAACTTTTGATCCCAGTCTTCGAGGTCAGGGAACGCGTGAGGCATCCAAGCAACCGCTGCATAATAGATGAAGGCATTACATTCCAAGATTGAGGTCGACATCACTAATCGAGGTCAGGAAGGCATACTTCGAAATGATGCCGGTATAGTTCGATAACGGAAAGAGCGAGATATCCGTGACAGATCGAAGATCATGGAGTGAATTTCGGAATGGATTGATCTTCGGCGGTTAATCAGTTGTCAATATGATTTCCTACCATAATTAGAAGTGTACCTTGTTTAGAACTCCTCTATTATATAAGGAGGAATCCCATTCATTTGTAAACATGATTACTGACTAATGAGAATACACACATCCACTGCTCTTTTACCTTGTTTATCGTTCATTACTGTCCATCATTGTTGTTTCATTTATTTACTATTATTATTATTGATCTATCTCAAGACCGTCTTGGATCGAGGTCGAAACTCCACTCTCATACTGGTTTGATCTATCTTATCTCCTAATTTATTTATTTAATTCCTTGTTTATCAATCGGTATCGAATTGAATCACATATCCTTAAAACCACAATATAAGTTCAATTATTACTTGAATTTTAGGGTAAACAGTTTGGCGCCCACCGTGGAGCTAAGGATAATAGTGATTGTTCAGTGTTGATTCTGATAACACATATTATTTCACGCGTGTTCTTGTCAAGTATTTTTGCTTTCAGGTTAAAACATGTCAAACTCACAAAACGCACCCGCACATGGTGATAATGGCCTCGGGTTTCACGGGGAGAATGACAATGTAATTGCTCCAGACCGAGTTGCCACCGGTTAATCTCGGGGAAGTACTAGCTAGGCGCGGACTTCGAAGGTAGTTTACGTAGGGAAGGCCGATCCGGTCGCCGAGGTACACAGGGCAGAGGAGACGGAGGAGTTAGTCTCCATGTGATATTCGAGATGCTACAGGCTCAACAGGCCAATATTGCTCAACTTCAAAATCAACATAGAACTCCGAGTGGGGTTGAGCCGGAAATCACTCGTCGTACCGATCCAGTGCCAGAGAGGTCGAATGGTAATGGATCGGGGACCGATCCTGCAGTAATGAAAATGCTCGAGGAGCTTACCAAGAGAATCGAGTCAGGAGAGAAGAAAATCGAAGCTAATGATAATAAAGTGGAGACATACAACTCTCGAGTTGATCAGATACCAGGGGCACCGCCAATCTTGAAAGGGATGGATTCGAAGAAGTTTATACAAAAGTTGTTTCCTCAAAGTGCGGCTCCGAAGCTTATTCCAAAGAAGTTTCGTATGCCAGACATACCCAAATATAACGGGACCACCGATCCCAACGAGCATATTACTTCATATACATGCGCCATCAAGGGTAACGATTTAGAAGATGATGAAATCGAATTTGTGCTGTTGAAAAGTTCGGAGAGACCCTTTCAAAGAGAGCAATGATTTCGTATCACAACCTGCCACCAAATTCCATCGACTTATTTTCCATTTTAGTAGATTCTTTCGTAAAGGCACACGCCGGGGCCATAAAAGCCGCAACAAGAAAATCGGACCTTTTCAAGGTAAGACAAAGGGATAATGAAATGTTGAGGGAGTTTGTGTCTCTATTTCAAATGGAACGCATAGAGTTGCCACCGGTCACAGATGATTGGGCCGTTAAAGCTTTCACCCAAGGGTTGAACGAGCGAAGTTTGATAGCATCACGTCAATTGAAATAAAATTTGATCGAGTATCCAGTTGTAACTTGCGCAGATGTGCACAATCGATATCAATTGAAGATCAGGGTTGAGGATGACCAACTAGGAGCCCCTTCCGGTTCAGTACAACTAAACAGGTCGACGGTTAAAGCCCAGAGGGACGTCGATATGGAGCCAAGGTCGAACAGAGAACGATATCAACCATATACCACAGATCAAAGGAACAGTGGTTCAGGATGCAGTTCCACCCCGAATGATCGAAGAAGTGATCGAAGACAGAATTCTTGGGGACTTATGAGCAAAAGTGGTTTTGATAAGTATGTCGATTCCACAGAGGCACCTCAATTATCGGAATATAACTTTAGTATCGATGCCTCGGGCATTGTATCGGCAATCGGAAAGATCAAGATACTAGGTGGCCAAACTCATACAGACCGATCCTTCCCAAAGAAACCTAAATTAGATGTGCAAGTATCATGGCATGCATGGTTACAGGGTCGAGGATTGAAGGCAATTAAGGGAGGAGGTAGCCCGTCTATTCAATGAGTACCGTCATCAAGAGTTCTTTAGCGATCTGGCCAAGAATCATTTTGGAGAAAGGGACGCCAACAGGAAAAATGGACAGGAGTAACCCCAACATGTCATTTATATGATCGTCGGTGGAGTCGACATTCCACGGGGACCCATATTCAAACGCACTAAGGTATCAATCACTAGGGAAAAACGAACCCGAGATTATGTGCCCGAAGGCTCCTTATCATTCAACGACGAAGAAGCAGAAGGCATTTCTCTGCCCCACAACGACGCTATGGTAATTTCTATCTTATTAAATGAAGTTCAAGTTAAGCGTGTTTTAGTGGATCCAGGTATCTCGGCGAATATCATCTGATCGAGGGTCGTGGAGCAGCTCGGCCTACAAGAACAAATCATGCCCGCAACTCGAGTCTTAAACGGCTTCAATATGGCCAGTGAAACAACTAAAGAGGAGATTATTTTACTGGTGAACGTGGCTGGAACCATTCAAGATACCAAGTTCCACGTGATCGAGGGCGACATGAGGTACAATGCCCTACTCGGAAGACCTTGGATCCACAATATAAGGGCAGACCCTTCGACTCTCCACCAAATGATGAAATTCCCGACGTCGGACGATATAAAAACAGTATACGGGGAGAAACATTCTGCAAAAGAAATTTTTGCGGTCGATGAGGTAACACCGATATCGACGTTATCAACCTCGGAAAGGTCGAGCATCAAAGGTAAAAAGGAAGCCAAATAGCAATCAGAGCCACCAGACTTGACCGAATCGGGGAAGTAGGAGATAGAAGAAGGAGAAGAGGATTTTCTAACCCCTCGAACTTTTATTGTTCCCGAATATTCCGACGTCACCAAATCAACGGTCAAAGAGCTGGAACAGGTTATATTGATCGAGTACCTGCCCGAGCGAAAGGTATACCTGGGAACGGTTTAGCCCAAACTCAGGAAAAAGCTTATTCAATTTCTTATTGATGACATAGATTGTTTTGCTTTGTCTCATTTATACATGACAGGGATCCCACCGGAGATAACGACGCATCGGCTAAGCTTGGACCCTAGGGTCAAACCGGTGAAGAAAAAAAGAAGACCCCGGGCTGCGGTAAAGCACACATTCATAAATGACAAGGTAACTAAACTTCTCAAAATAGGGTCCATTCGGGAGGTGAGATATCCCGAATGGTAGCCAATGTATCGTAGTCCCTAAGAAAGGGAACAAATTTAGAATGTGTGTAGATTATAAAGATTTAAACAAGGCATGCCCCAAAGATTCTTTTCCACTGCCTAACATCGATCGCATGATCGACGCCACGGCTGGCCACGAGATCCTTACCTTTCTCTATGCCTATTTCGGGTACAATCAAATTAAAATGAACCCGGAAGACCAGGAAAAGACTTCATTTATCACCAAGTATGGGACATATAGCTATAATGTAATGCCCTTCGGGCTAAAAAATGCAGCAGCTACTTACAAACGTCTAGTAAATAAAATGTTCGAAGAACAAATAAGTAAGTCAATGGAAGTTTATATCGATAGCATGCTAGTTAAGTCTCTGCGTGCAGAGGGCCATTTGGCTCATTTGCAGGAAACGTTCGAGATTTTGAGGAAATATAACATGAAGCTCAACCCCGAGAAATGTGCTTTCGGGGTCGGTTCGGGCAAATTCATGGGCTTCTTGGTGTCGAATCGGGGGATCGAGATCAACCCCGATAAAATCAAGGCCATTGAAGCCATCACCATCGTGGACAGTGTAAAAGCCGTGCAGAGGATGATTGGACGGATAGCCTCTTTAGGCCGATTCATCTCGAGGTCATCGGATCGAAGCCACAGATTTTTCTCTCTACTCAAAAAGAAGAATGATTTCACCTGGACCCCGGAATGCCAACAGGCATTAGAGGAATTAAAGCGATACCTGTCGAGCCCATCACTGCTTCACACTCCAAAGGCAGATGAGAAACTTTACTTGTACTTGGCAGTATCTGAATCGCGGTAAGTGGTGTCCTAGTTCTAGAAGAGCAAGGTACGCAATTTCTCGTTTATTATGTACGTCGAACCTTAGGAGAAGCAGTAACTAGATATCCACACTTATAGAAATTGGCACTTGCACTGATAAGCACTTCTAGAAAGTTAAAACCATACTTTCAATGTCACCCCATATGCGTGTTAACCACTTGCCCACTTCGTAATATTTTTCACAAGCCCGAACTATCCGGCCGATTGGCCAAATGGACCGTCGAACTCAGTGGGTACGATATCGAGTATCAACCCCGAACGTCCATCAAGTCTCAAATTTTGGCGGACTTCGTGGTCGATTTCACGCCAACCCTCGTACCCAAAGTTGAAAAAGAACTCTTTTTAAAATCAGGCACGTCATCGGGGGTATGGACCCTTTTCACAGACGATGCTTCCAATGTGAAGGGATCCGAGCTAGGCATCATTTTGAATCCGCCCACGGTGGGCGCTAAACTGTTTACCCTAAAATTCGAGTAATAATTAAACTTATATTATGGTTTTAAGAATATGTGATTCAATTCAATACCAATTGATAAATAAGGAATTAAATAAATAAATTAGGAGATAGGATAGATCAAACCAGTATGCGAGTGGAGTTTCGACCTCGATCCAAGAGAGTCTCGAGATAGAGCAATAATAATAATAGTAAAGAAATGAAACAACAATGATGAACAATAACGAACGATAAGCAAAGTAAAAGACCGGTGGATGTGTGTATTCTTATTAGTCAGTAATCATGCTTACAAATGAATGGATTCCTCCTTATATAATAGAGGAGTTCTAAACAAGGTACACTTCTAGTTATTATAGGAAATCATATTGACAATTGATTAACTGCCGAAGATCAAT